GTTAAAGGGACTTATCTAAGAAAAAGAAGTTAAAGAAACATGAACAGTGAAAGGACAACAAACTCACAGTTATTAACAACCACACCTAAAACGAAAGCAAACTAAAAGGACAGCTAGATCAGGAGTGGAAACATAGAAATGAAGATCTCAAGGAGGGTTAGCAACAGGGGAGTGGGAGGAGGAGAAGGGGGGGAGAAGGTACAGAAAATAAGTAGCATAGACAGTAGATAGAAAATAGAAGGGGAGGCAAGAATAGCGTGGGAAATATAGAATCTAAAGGACTTGAGACACATGGTCATAAACTAAAGGGGGGGTAATGGTGGGGATGAGGGGTAGGGTAGAGGGGAATAAAGGGGGAATAGAACAACTGTAACAGCATAATCAATAAAAAAATTTAAAAAATAAAAAAATAAAAAAAATCAAAAAATAGTTCTCTAGCAATGACGTGGACCATACTCAGAGGGTGCCCATGGGGAGAGGGAGCACCTCTTTCCCTTCCGAGGAGGGCACAAATCCCATCCTGGGGCCCCGCCCTCATGACCTCACGTGACCCGAGCACCTCCCAAAGGCCCCGCCTCCACATACCATGGCAACCGAGGCTGGGCTCCACACGCGGACACCAATACTCTGTCAATAAGAGGACTTAATGCCGCTGAACCGCACACTCAAAAATGGTGACAATGGTAACATTCAAGGGGTTTGAGGGACACCCCTTCAGGCAGTGGGGAGCCATGGAAGGAGTTAGGGCAGGGCTGGGCGGGATGCGAGTGGGAGGCTAGGGGGCAGTGTGCAGAAAAGGAGGAGGAAGGGGGAGGTAGAGAGACGAGCGAGTCACGCAGGGGACGGGGTGGATGGTCTCGAGGACTGTGCAGAACCCCCCCGACGTCAAAGCCGCCCCCCGCCCCAGCCAGCGCCTGCTCTCAAAGATGGGAACTCAGCTCCCGCACATGCCCTCCCCGATCATCCCCCACCGAAGCAGCGCCTTGCACTAGGACCATTGGCAGACACAAAGACGGCAGCTTCTGCTGCTGGAGGAAACCAGCCGGTGTCCCTGGGGCCTGGCCAGGGACCGAGTCCAAGCCTCGGAGCCACCGGCAGGGACAAAGGCCTGTGTGCTGCCCCGGCCGACACCCGCTGGGGAGTAATGAGAAACCCTCTCTGGGAACTGCCCGCCCCCACTCTGACCCTCTGGCCGCAGATGACCGCTTATCGCCCATCCGGGGACAATCCGGGCAGGGAGACAATCCTGAGGCTGGCCTCACGGCCACTTCCGACGTTCTAGCAAAGGCCGCTCTCATCCGAGCCACGGCCGCCTCTGCGGGAGCGAGGCCAGCAGGCGTCCTGCGCCAGGGCCCGGGCCTTGCCAGGCGAGATCGTGAGATGAGCTTCTCGCCGGGGCCTCTCTGCTCAGAGCTCTCCAAGGCTCGGAGCCAGCTCTGCCCAGAGTAATAAAAGAGGTGTGGGAGCCCCATGCCCCAGGGACTGGCTCCCTCCTTCCCATCCAGGTGAGCCCAGCCAGGTGGGAGCTGGATTCCTGCAGGGAAGGTCAAAGGGGAGGGGGACCAGGCAGGGGCTGCAGGGGGCACAGGGGTTCTCATGCTCGTTCTGGGATCCTACTGCCAACAAAGTGTGCATTCGGAAGAATATTTTCAGAAGGCCCAGGCCTGCGTGGTTGGTGCTGACCTTTGGCCTTGGATGTGCTCCCTGAGGGTCACAAGCCCCTTCCCCACAGAGCCCATCATCGAAATCCGCACGATTTATCTGCAAAGAATCTTAGGTTTCCTCTTTTCCTCCATTCGCATTTTTGGCAGAGGGGTAAAAAACCTTGAACGACACTCATGGGCTGAATTCCGTCCTCAGAGTGTGGAAGCAGTATTTGGAAGCAGGGTCGTTGTGGGTGGGATGAGTTACAGCAGGAGGAGGTCACACCGCAACAGGGCGGTCCCTCATCCAATGTGGCTGATGTCCTTATAACAGGGGACCTTTGCACACACATACACACTGAGGAGGAAGGCGATGTGAACAGGGAGAAGACGGTCATCTGTAAGCCCAGGAGAGAGTGCACAGCGCTCTAAAGGAGCCAGCACATCTAACACCTTGACCTTGGACTTCCAGCCTTCAGACATGCGAGACGACACACTTCCATTGAGTAAGCCGCCTCGTGTGGCGGCCAGACAACCGCGCGGGTGGAGATGACAAGCCCCTAGTTTAGTACCTAGAATCCCCAAGAGTGAGTGGAAAAGGGCCCTGGGGTGGGGTGAGGAGACACTTGGTCAATGGTGGCCAGGGAAGGTGTGGCTGGGAAGGGGACAGGGCCACAGCACCTGCAAGTTTGCCCAGGGAGGGAGCAGGTGGCATTCTGGGCACCCGACGCCACCGGGGCCACAGCTCAGAGTTTTCAGAGGGATGTGCCGTTTCCTCTTGGGGAGGGAGGTGTGGGTTTGGGGGCTGCGGCTCAGAGTGGGCTGGAACGGCAGGCGGGACCCAGGTCCAGCAGAGCTGTGCGGCAGCCAGGCCAGGACATCAGGGCTTGAACCCGGGCCCTGTCGAAGCAGAAGAGTCCAGGTAACAGTTGTCTTTTTTTTTTTTAAGGAAGAATCTGATGTCTGGGAAGAGGCTGGGCTGGAGCAGCAGGAAGTGGGCAGACCTGCTCTTTGTGGGGAAGGATCACCCGGGAGGGATCGTGGGGTTGGGTGACTCACCGGATATGGCCTCTTAGGAGTTTGGAGCCGCTGAAATTTCTAGGTGGGGCCGTGATGCGGGGGTGACACGTGAATGGAGACAGTGACGGAGGAGAACCAGGCTCCCTGAACTCTCTCATCAGTCCTGTGAGAGAATCGGAACTGCGCCCACCTGAGAGGGGGAAGCCAAGCTCCGGCCCACGGGACCTGTCTGAGGTCATGGGGGCTGGTGGACGGGCCCAAGGCCCGGCTCGTCGCTGGGGAGCCGATCCACACCTGTGCAAAGCATGGCTGTGCTTGCAAACCCAACTCAAAGACACAAACACAAAAAAGAAAGGAAAGGAAAAGGTCGATTTGAAGCGTTTGCCACTTCCTGTGGTGTAAATACTCCCACCTCACCAATTCTAGGCACTCGGCGTGGTATGACTGAACTTGGCATTGGGGAAGACTGTGCACAAGTGATTGTTGTGAGCCAGGACTAGCAGGGCCAGCCTCCCCTGACCAGAGTACGACCACACTCAGTGCCAGTGAGCCTGGCACTGAGACCCCTTCTCCCTCCACAGTAACACAGCAATGCACCACAACGAACCCAGGTCTTTGAGTTTTACTCACTGCCCTTCACCATGAACTCTCTTTGGCTGATAGAACCATTGGTGTATCCAGTGCGATATTGTACGTAGAATTGGTCTCTGTCACCCTGTCCCCTAGCCCGGGCCCTGCTATCTCAGGACACCCAGTGCAATGTCACACTCAAGTGGCCAATGTCACAGAGAAGGCACTGCGCTGAGCATGTGCGGGGAACACCCAGCACTCCGAGCTCGTCTGGTTTTCACGCTCACCTAAGGAGCTGCCCTTGGCAGTGTCCCTACATTAGCAGATCGGATACCCGCTCACCGTTCAGACACCAGCACCGTGGTTTCTCGTCCCCAGTAGGAGTCGTGTTTCTGGGGCCACAGTCCGCACATAGATGCTATTTGTGTGGCATCTGTCCTGCGCTCCGGCACGGCCAACTCCTCTCAGACAACTCTCGGGAGGCAATGCAGTGCCATGGGCCAGGCCTGCGGAACTCAACGCCTGCCGCGGTCCCCTCGAGGCTGGAGGTTTGGGGATGTTTTCCTTCTAATTTGGGACTGACTGCCCTGGAGGCAGAAGAAAGGCAGACACGGGCCCTGGCTGCATAGCTCAGTTGCTTAGAGCATCCTCTCGATATGCCAAGGTTGCATGTTCAAATCCTAGTCAGGGCACAGACAAGAATCACCTGATGAGTGTGTGCCTAAGTGGAATAACAAATCGATGTTTCTGTCTCCCTCTAAAATCAATCAATCAATCAATCAATCATTAAAAAAGGCAAACCTGGGACCTGGCTTCCAGTGCACCTTCGTGGGTGAAGAGGGGACAGACAGGCTTTGGAGTGAGATAGAGTGGTTTAATGATAAATTCATCTCCCAAAGCAATGAGGGGGTGTTGGCTGCTCCGGCAATAACTGTGAGGGAACAGGCGGAGTCAGGCCCTCAGCCGGGAGACCAGGCCGGTGACATGGCCCCTGCAGAACATGAGCTAACGGCAGGGTCCCCAGTGGGGTGGGAGGTGGAAGCCAAGTGCCCTCTGAACTCGGGAGAGACCTGCCCCCACTTCTCCCCTCCAACACCTGCTCTGGCTTCAGGAAGGGCCTCCCTTGAAGTTGCCGATTGATTCTGAGACTGCCAGGATGTGACCACGGGCTGACAGCATCAATGCTACAGCAAAATGACACTGAACGAAATGACATTAGTGGAGGACCTGCTGTACAAGTCGGTCATTCAGCAGCCCCAAGCCCCGGGGCTCAAAACCACTTTTGAATCTAGTCACGTGCTAATAATGAACTATGAGGAAAATACAGGGGCGGGCAAAAGTAGGTTTACAGTTGTGAGTACGCAGAACAGTACCCTCTTGTATTGGCATTTATTTATTAAATAGATTGCATTATTTATTATTGCCCTACCTTTGCCCACCCCTGTATATTTTATATGGATTATATAATGTGTAATAAATCCTCCAAACTTACCTAGAACGTAGGTAAGTGCCCAGTAGCTTCATCTTTGAAGCAAATGACATTTTTTTTGGAATGAATGCACGGAATGGAATTCATTCCCACTTGCGTTCCAGCAGGCACGGTTCCCGTCAGAAAACGCACCCTTGGCTGCCCGGAGAGGCCCTGCTACCTCTGGTCACGGCCACGTGTCCGTCGCCCCTCCGCCCCCCACCCCCCACCTAACGATGTCTGGAAAGAACCGCCCTTATCTCGGGCTGGCCGCTTCCGCTCCTCACCCTGCCCCGCAGCCTCCGGGAACTATGATGTCTGTGGCTGGGAGCGAGGCCGCTTGTCTCCTCACTTCGTGAGTCATCAGGGAATTTGTCTGCCTCTTTTGACACCGTGTAATGACTCAGCTTTTGCAGTGACAGAGTTGGGTCGGCGTGGCTGCCGTTTTCCCAGGACGATGTGATCAAAATACGGGTGCCCCCGAGGTACTGGGCACCCCATTCCCATTCCCATAGTATTTTCTTAAAGGCCACTTAACTGTTCAGGTTTACTTTTCAGAGGTTTTATTAGCATTGCTAATAGGACAGAATGTCAATGCTGAAATACCAAGTGACTTAGTGTTAGGTCAGAGAGGCCAGACACTGCGGGGGACCCAGTTTTGCAAGCCCAGCTGCTGGTCCGAGGAGGCGGAAAGGGCCCTGTGCACACTACGCTCCCTGGGGCGTTATCCAAGGCAGAAGGATGGGAGGCTCGAGGTGGTCAGCAGCAGGGACACTGTCAGCCCCAGGGAAAAAGGAAGCCCTTACATGACATTTCAAAGGGCCAAGGAAGGTTTTTCTTAAAGGGGAGAGGTGAACGGAAGAGGGAGGCAGATGCCGAACTGTATGTACACGTTATATCAGACCATTCATGTGTTACAGAAACCCCATAGGGATTTGCCTAAGTCGGAGCAGGGTGGTGTCCAGTGAGGGACTGTGGGCCTTTTCTCCTACTTCCCCATACATGTGTTTTTGTTCTGTGAGCACAGTTAGTTACAATGGAAGGAACAGACTTCAGTTAAAAGCCCACAATGCTTGTTTGGTAACACGTGATCACTCCGATATTGATTGTGTTATTAGAAGGCGTTCCGGTCTATTTTCAGAAGGCATTGTGAGCACATGAGTGAAATCACCCTTTAGCCGTGTAACGAGAAGGCAGCGTTTGCCTAAAGAAAGGCCCAAGCTTGACTCCGAATGAATGCATTTGAAGGTGACTTTGGGGTTTGGCTAGAAGGGTTTCCTTTCTCCCCCACCCCCGTGGTGTGTGTGGCACCAGGGAAGGTGTGCCACAGGCCGTGGCCTGATGCTGGGTGACGAGAGGTGGCCCACAGGCAAGAGGAAAAGCAGGCAGCAGCCGGAGGCACCCGCACCGGCGGACTCGTGAGCAGCTGCTCCGTGGAGAGCGATTCCTCCCAAAACATCGGCTTCCTCTGGCAGCTTCCAGGGCTGGGCCGTTTGCAGTATGAGTGACCCAATCCATCTGCTATGACTCCGTCTCATCAGCAACCAGCCAGGCAGAACTGACCGCTCTTACCTGTGTCAAAAAAACACCACTGGGGGGTTCTTTATGAGGATCACATTTTGGTTTCTGACAACAGGAGGAAGATTCAAAGACCCTCACAATGGGAATAGAATGAATGGTAAATGAAACGCGTTAAAAAATGCCCGGCAACAGGCCTTTAAGTGGTTTAACTGCACAGGTGACAAGCCAGCCCCTAATCTGGTTGGCCCTATGGTTCGAAGATTTTCACACCCATCCCCCGCCCTTACACTCACACACACACACACACACACACACACACACACACACGCTCCTGCCAAAGAACAAGTGAAAACCTGAAGCACGTCCACACTTACAGGCAGGCAGCTTTCTCCTTCTCCTGGAAATCAGGCAGAGTCACTGTAACTGGATCACGGCGCTGTAACTTATGTCTTCATCGCGTCTGTGACAAGTTAGACGAAGCGGACTGGTGTTGGTGGCCTTTTCCTCTAAGTGGAACAGAAAGGGACACCTTTCGAGGATGTGGAAAGGACAGTGGGAGGGCCCCATGGAGGCAGGTTCAGCCCTGCAAGGTCCCTGCAGCCGACAGACCGCTCCCCCCCCCCCCCACACACACACTGCGGCAGGTAAGCGCCTTTGCAGACCAGATTACAGCAATTCACACCCAGCGACACGGCCTAATCCCCAGGGCTGGCCCAGCTTTCCCGGTGACGGGAAGGCACAGGGGACTCTGGAAGTCCAGGGCCAGGGCAGAGCCCCTCGGCAGCCACACAGTCCCACAGGCGTGTCACCTTCCTGGAGGATGGGCCTTGAGAGGCAAGGGACTCTGCACACCCACCTTAAAACCTAACACCGTCCTCAGGAGCGGGGCGTGGGGACTGGGCTTACCAGCACGTTTTACTTGTGGTCACACAGTGGTGGACGGAGGGGGCTGCAGGGAATGCCCTCACCTTCAGGGCACAGGATGGAAGCAAAACGTGACTGTCCTTCAGCTTGGTCACACACCCTGACAAATGGCGTGAGCCATCCCGGCCTGCTCAGGACACCGGCAGTGGCCCCTGCATCAGCTGTCTGCAGGGTGCAGGGCGCAGGGGCTTTGTGACATAGGATGTGGTTGGGGGTGGCGCTGGGCAGGAAGGAGGCACACACAGGCTTTGTCTGCAGATGAGAACCCCATCGGCTGCACCGATGGTGCTCGTGGGGCCTGGGGCAAGGCCGGTTTCGGAGGGTCAGGGCTACTTCTGTGTCCTGGGCTGGGGGAGTGACCAGCGGCAGCCTCTGCCCTTTCCTGGGCTCAGCATTCGGTGAAAGGAGCCCACCTCCCTCGCTCCCAGTGTCTACTCTGCAGCTAAGAGAGGTCGTCCCATGACCTGTATTTCATGACCCGTGGCCCTGTCTCCCAGCATGCAAGTCCTGCAATGCTACAGTCCACGTGCAGCTGCGTGGCACCCTGGCCCAGAGTGACAAGTGCTGGGACAGGGATCCTGCCGTCCAGACGCGGGGGCAGATACACGCAGGGCTCCCATACGTGCGACCACAATGCCTGGACGCCCACCTAGCCCTGCTTCTGAAAACACGCCCACCAAGTCATCAGGGAAGCGGGTCTGCTTGTCTCACAGCCGGAGGCTTGCTCAGGTCTGTGTGCCCAAGTGATCGCGTGCTTCCCTTTTGTGTGAGATAAAAACGCAGCCAGTCTAGGCTATACAGAGGTCACCTACTGACCCCGAGCACTGTCCCCAGTGGCTCTCTGCAGCTGAGGGCTGGGAGGACACCCTGAAGACAGATTCCAACCCCTGCCTTTTGCCTAGTGATCCCTTCCCCTCTCTCCACCATCTTCATGTATTATTCCTGATTTTGAAATATTGCTAACAGGAGCCATCTGGTTTGTAGGGCTATGCACCATTTCATTTTACTACTTCTCTGTATTTAAAACAAAGTAATGTCCTGGCTGGTGTAGCTCAGTGGATAGAGCGCGGGCCTGCGGATCAAAGGATCGCGGTTCTATTCCCAGTCAGGGCACATGCCTGGGTTGCAGGCCAGTTCCCAGCAGGGGATGCACGAGAGGCAACCATACATTGATGTTTCTCTCCCTCTCTCCTTCCCCTCTATAAATAAGTAAATAAAATCTTTTTTAAAAATAAATAAATAAATAAAACAAAGTAATGCATGCTAAGAAAAAAGCGTAAGGCAACCAATGAAATGAAGAGGTATATATTAGCAAGCACTGGGAACTGACAGGAAGGAATGACTTCCGGGTCAGGAGCGTGGGGCCCCAGGTGGAAGCCCACATGGTGATGGGCCGACCAGACAGGGCACCTTCCACCAGGAGAGTACAGGGTGGGGGCAACGAGACAAGGGGGCCTAACCTGTGGGGTGCTGCTAGCATGCTAACCTGGGGTCTGCCCTCGGGGACTCGGGAGGGGAACGGCATCCCGTGACCACAGAATCCAGTCCAGCCCTTTTGGAAGTGGCAGACCGTGATGGAAGGTCGTGTTGATGTCAAGGCTGGTGATGGCTATTTGCTTCATCTAATCTGTGTTGGTTTTACTTTAAAAAAAAAAAAAAAAAGCAATAATCAGACTCAGAAGATGCTCCCCCTTGGTCAGCATCAACAGGTCCACCAAATCTGGAAGATACTGGAAATCCCGAGAGATACAGAGGAATTATTCGAAAGAAGGGGTCCATACGCTGATCCCAGATGCAGAAAAGGCTGGCCAATCGACCCACCTGCTCCATGAGGTCTCTGTTAGGAAAGAGTCCAAGTGCTGGATGAAGAGGCCCAGGTTTGAACTGGAGAAGCTCATGGAGCCTCATGGTCCAGGCCTCGGCTCTGGAAAACCTACTGGGGATGCGGCCGGTGCTGACGGTGAACGCACTGATGGACAAGGGCCCCCCAGTCCAAGAATCTGTTTACATTTCAGACTTTTAATGGTGACAAATGAAAAATCCTGTTTGGGAGGGGGAAATAAAAGCCCCTCAGTCCAACTGTTTCACACCCGCATGGGAAGGGTGCAGGACAACATCAGGGTGGGCAGTGGGGGGGTTTCAGCTGCTCCCGGAGGGTGGGTCCCGCGGGCCAGGGGACTGACGTGGGGACAGAGCAAGGCCCCATCAGCACCATCTCAGAGCCCAGTTTGGCTGGAGGAGGTTCCCGAAGCCGCGGTTTGGAAGGGTGCTTCAGGAAGCGGACCCTAGCAGCCGGACCTAGAGTGACCAGAAGAATGAACCAGGAGGCAGTGGGCACAGAGTCCAGTGAGAGATGACCGGGGGCGGGGGCTGGAGTAACAGGGTCGGAGAGCACTTGTGGACCCTGGGCCTCGAGGAAGCGGGGGTGACAGCTCCCGAAACATCAGCAGGAAAGAGCATCAGCCTCGCGTGGGAGTGGGCAGAGGGGGGGAAACGATGCATCTCAAGGAGGTGCCACCAAGACAGCAGACGGACATTCCACCCCGATGAAGCTGCCCCAAACCCCTCCAGTCTGCTAGTGCGATAGATAGAGTTTAAATTACCCTGCCATCAAGCTGTCTGCTGTGCTCTTCCTTACTGAAGAATAAAAACATCTGTGCATTTTTTCCCAAGGAAAAAACTCAACGCTCTTACAAGCTAAATGGCCATTAGGGGGCGCAGCAGCGACTCCTGTTGGGAGCGCGGGGTTGTTATACGGGGTCTTCACCATCGTCACCCAGGAGACGCCGACCCCCGGGGTGTCATTCACACCCACAAAGCTGGCAACCCAAACTGCAGTCCACATAAACCTCCCCCAAATAAATCAAAAAACTACGGCTTCATGTTTACATTGGGTTACTCTCCCAATGGAATGCGTTTCTTCAGCTGAAACCGGAGGAATGAGACAAAATGGGTCTGAAAACGCCAATTGAAAAATACTGTTCACTGGTTTATTTTTCCAAATGAGCAACAGGCTATTTACAAATGAGCAGATCTCCAATGATGGATATTAACATGGCAAGTCTATGACCGTTTGAAATCTAAATGAAAAAAAAAAAATTTTTTTTTTATTAAGGCACATTTGATCCGTGAGTTTAAAACAAACTTTCTGGTATCATGAAAGGTTCATTTCACTTTTGTTCCTAAGACATGTGAGCACCAAAATTGTCAAAGAACACTTAATATTTAGTATAACAGTAAGGAATGTAAAAAACGGAGGGGGGGCGGGGGGAGTGTTTTCAGAAGGAAATCTTTGGAGATCAGTTTACTGCAAATAAAGCACACTAAACACACTCCCGATGCACATAAATACTAACCACTAACGGGTACTTGAGGAACGGCGGCTCTCTAGACAACGAATATTAAATAAATTAAAGGTATTTCAGACGCGAAGGATGAAACAGACGGTAATTAAAGATGGAAAGGGCTATCGCCACCCAGGTAACACAGGATGAAGAGAAGAAAAAGCAAACGCGTTTTTTTCCCAATACTTTCATGGGGGGGGGGGCAGGGTATGTGTGGGGTTTTTTTTGCTTTAGTTTGTGTACATCAGATTTATTACCTTAATTCTTCTCTGCCATTCAAAAGATTAATATTTTTTTACCCTTGAAAAGAGAAGGGCCAGGAGGGGGTAAAATACCAAATCCTTCTTGGAGCTGAATGCCAGGTCTGCACAGACCACACGAGTCCCAGAACGGCCACGTCACCTCACGGGGCCTCCTTGTTCCCTGTGCTTTTCAAACCTCCGGACAGCTCTCCCGAGGAGGCAGGCGGACCCGACTACCGTCACACCTCTGCACCTCACCACCGGACCGCACAATGGCTTAAACAGAATCACTGTAAAAACGGACAGAAGGTAGAGACTGTGCATTGCTAAGAGTTACAGCAAGACACTGCTTTGCTGCAGTAATACTTTGCAGGGACTCCTGTTGCCTGCCCTCCAACCGCGGCAACAGCGGGGGCTGGCGAAGCCATGCGCCCGGCACGAAGCCACGCCGCCTGCGTCTGGGGTGCAGCGGGTCGCGGCCAGGCGGGTCTGCTACGGCAGGTTCGGGAAGGAACGTGTGTTCGAAGGCAAACAGGATCACATTGCTGTTGTTCGAAAAAGCTCATCCCCAGGAGGAGTCCTTGGTAAGAAAGTCACGTGTAAAACACGCCCCGCTGTGCGGGGCTTCCAAAACGGACCGTACAAAACGATTTCTGCAAAATAAATTAGGTAATTAAAAACGCCCCCTCCGGCGGGGCCGGGTCAGCCTGTCCTCGCCGAGCCGTTGGTGCTGCTGCGCCGGCTGTAACCCGGGTCGTTCTTCTCCAGCCACAGCTCGGCCAGCTGCCGCGTGGACCCGTAGGTGGAGGCCTTGGACCCCACGCACATCTTGTACTGCTTGGGGTCCAGGCTGGGGTCACAGAAGACGGGGTGGTGGACGTGCACAACGCCCACCTCCTGGCTCCTGAACGTCTTCAGACCCGCCTGGACCACCTTGTTGAAAAGGTCCACGTCCTCCAGCCCCCAGCCCTGGATGGAGACGTCGAAGCCGCCCACGCGGACCAGGTCCCCCTTATAGATACAAGTGATGCCGAACCCGTAGTTCCTCCAGAAGCCCGTTTTCTGGGTGAAGGCGAAGTGGTTCTCGCTGGGGGCTTTCCCGCTGTACACAATCTTTGGGTCGTACTGGCTGAAGATGATGGGAAAGTAGATCTGCTGGCCCAGCACCGTGTTGGCCCGACAGCGCTGCAGGAACTCGGCCGTGAAGACCAGGTCGACGTCGCAGAAGAAGAGCAGGGACTCGTTGCGGAACTGGGACGACCCCACCTCCAGGGCCAGGGCCCTGGAGAACTCGCCGGACACGGGCAGGATCTGCATGTCGGCCTTCGGGTACTTGCTGCGGTAGTCCCTCATGAGCTCCACCTGCTTGGCCTTGTCGGGGTTGGAGTCCGAGTTGAACAGCAGCACCACCAGCTTCACGTTCTGGTTGGGAATGAGGCAGGCCTTCTCGAAGTTCCCCATGAACCTCACGAACATGTCGAAGCGCCCCGACAGGGGGATGAGGATGTTGACCTTTGGCTCCTTGGCCTCCCTGCGCTCGCTCCTGGCGCCGGGGAGCTGGAAGGGCACGAGCTTCTTCAGGGAGTTGGAGAGGAAGGACAGGGAGCCGGACTCCTGGTTGATCTGGCGGGCCAGCTCCGCCGCGTCCAGCGCCTCGTGCTCCACGAACTGGATCTTGCTGAAGGTCTGCTGGAGGTAGGCGTGCCGCCGCACGGGCACCGTCACCTTCTTCCCCTTGTGCTTCTTGTACAGCAGCAGCAGGTCCAGGATGTACTCGGCCCCGTACGTGGGGTTCACGCGGCGGTAGCCGTACTGGATCTCCTTGAAGTCGATGACGCGGCCCCGGGTCTTGGCGTTGGCGTTGATCATCTCCATGACCTGCATGACGATGTCGTCCAGGGCCTCCCGCTGCGCGGAGTCCATCCCTCTGCGAGGGGGCTGGCCGTCCACGGCCGAGTACAGGTGCTTCCCCGTCAGGAACTCCCACTCCAGGATCTCCTCGCGCTGGCGCGGCTGGAACCTCATGAAGGAAGGGGGCACCCCGAGCTGGAGGTCCTCCTTGTGCGTGTCCGTGTTGCTGTACTTGCTCATCAGGACGACCTCGCGGTGCAGCTGGATGGTGCGGTGGCGCAGCTCGGCGATCTTGCGGCTGAGCACGTAGCTGTGGAGCCGGTACTGGTAGGGCGGGCTCTTGTTGGGGTGCAGCGTGATGGCCCGGTGGATCTTGCTGTTGTGCAGGTCTCGGATGTAGCCCTTTTTGTTCTGCTCGTAGTTCTCGTAGAACAGCTGCTGCATCTGTTCAGGGGAAAGAAGAAAAAGATGGCCTTTGTAAGCGCTATGGGATGGGGCGTCCCTCTATTTTTCTATTTCCTTACGTACCGGCACACTTAAAAAAATCTAACTGTGAGGAATCTTTCCGCAGCCACAGCCGCAGCAGACGCGAGGCCCTGGGGAAAGCACGGGAGTCTACGGTGGCCCGCGGGGTCACGGGCGCCGAGTTAGAGCTACAAACTGCGTGAAGGGACGAGACTTTCGTCCCTCCAGGGACAGAAGTGGCCAGGGTCATTCTGCGGGCAGAGGGAGTGAGGGGGAAGCTTTCCTGTGGAGAAAGGGCGTGCACATTGGAAATCCTTTTTTTAAAAAAGATTTTATTTATTATGAGAGAGAGAGAGAAGCATGGATGTGTGCTTGCCTCTTGCGCGCCCCCAATGCGGGGACCTCGCCCACAACCCAGGCATGTGCCCTGACTGGGAATTGAACTGGCAACCTTCTGATTCACAGGCCAGCGCTCAATCCACTGAGCCACACCAGCCAGGGCTGAAAAATCCTTTCCACGCCAGCTCGTTCTGCGTGGGCAGAAGCGGGTCTGCTCGATCAGCACCAGGCCACCGGCACAAAGCCTGCGTGCGGAGGGCTCTGGATGACAGGCGAAGGGCAGGCAGCGCCAGGGGGCCTCATCTCCCACCCCACTCTCCCTCTGTCCCTGTGACAGGGGTTCCAGGGCGACAGATGCCTGAGGCCCCTCGGCCGAATCGGCCTGCTCCCCGGACTTTGACAGAGAACACGCTTCATGCCCTGGGATGCACAGGCAACGAGACGGCAAACGCCTGACAAGGGCCGGCAAAGCCTCGCGGCGTGAAGAGCACAACTTCGCAGAACAGGTGGGAACAGTGCTGCCGGTCGGCACCTGGCAAATCAGTCCCGCGTCACTGACGGCCCAGCTTGTCTTTTCTTCCTGTTGCTAAATACTGACTCTTGAGGACGGGGACACAGATTTGGGCCAAGTAGTTTATTTGGCTTTGGACTCGTATCTTTAACTTTTCAAAAAAACTTCTGAGCCACTGCAGCTAACATGATAACACAAAAATGACAGATTAGCACTTTTACGCCCCGTTTCCTACTCGATACTATAAGGTACCAGTAAATAAAGCTAGAAAAGAGTAAAAAGAAGGGAAATAACTTGCAAAAACCGCCTTGAAGTTTAAAGAAGACAGCACGGGATGCTGGCCAGGTTCCGCGCCCGCCTCCCACGGGACCCCCACGCGGCTCTGAGAGGGGCAAACGCTCCCTCTGGCACCAGACGGGAGGGCTGGTCTGCGGCAGGAACCGAAGCACCTCTTCACCGCCGCGTCCGAATTTGCTCAGCCGCCCCGCCACGATCCAGGTGCTCACCTGCCAACCGGGGAGCCGCTCCTCCCCGGAAGAGGCCCAAGCCCGCACCCTGACCTGGAACGTCTGGCCTGCAGACCGTGAGAAGTGGGTGTCGGTCCTGCTGCTCAGGGCGCAGCCCTGGTGTTGCCCCAGCAGCTTCTCGGCCCACGGCAAAGAAGCGCAGAGGGCTGTGGCCGTCATCGCCAGGGCCTGGCTCCGCGCCACACACGTTCTGAGATGCGCAGTGGACAGCTGATGAATTAACGGGAAGCAGGCGAGTCACCTGGCACGAGTGTCGAGAAACCGCTGGGCGGCTTCACTGCAGAGGGGCACAGGGGACGAGGGCCGACACGGTCGCACGCACTCGGTAAAGAACACACAGGGGCAAGGCCAGGTTCCAAGGACTGGACGCATTTTAAAATGTAGAAATTGCTAGCACATTTCAAAGAAAAATAATGCCTTTCCAGACTTAGGATGCAGTTGTCCTTTGTTACTCCCCTGAAGACCAAAGAGATAACTGCACGTTTTATTCTCAGCTACCACCACCCTCCCCCGACCCACTCCCCTGCAGAGGGACAGCGAGCGCAGATGTGCGCCCTCGGCGACGGCCCGGCCCGGCCCCATGTCCCCAGACGTTTTCAGGATCCGTGGCTCGCACTGTCTCAGAGGCTGCCTGAGGCCGTTGCCTTCACAGTGACGCAAGTCCATGCCAGTTTACCTGAGACACAGAGCGTGTGTGCGGAAAACGTAAATCAGAGCATCACTGACCGACAGGCTCGTGGGAGCCTCCAACCCCAGGAACCAGGGCAGACTGGCCGTGTGTACCTGCGGTCAAGTTCCTGTTGGCACCTTCTGGCTGAGCTCCAGGAGTCAGGCTGAAAGGAGTGTTGCGTTTTTTTAAATATAAATTTTTTTTTTTAAAAGAAAAAATCTGCGAGACAAAATTAAGTATGTGTGTGTTCAGGGGAGGGAGCACGTATTTTATTAAAAATAAGGCCAAGTCCATGCCCAGACTAGCTGGTGCCCCCGCCCCCGCCTCCCCAGCGCATGCACTCAGTACACTGACAAGGGTATAAAGCAAACGTCTTAGATGGAGAAGCCGCCTGCCTGACAGACTGGATGGAGACAGGCCGGCTCTGATTTAAGGAAAACCTAAACAAAAACAATCATTTTTGTTTAGCTTTTCTTAAATGCATTAGGGTAACACTGGCTAATAGTGTTTTTATAAATTTCAGGAGTACAATTTTACAATATGAGAGCTCTATACGCCCTTCCATGCTCAACACCAAAGTCTCAGCTCCTTCCATCACCCTGCATCTGACCCCCTTTACCCTTGTCCCCCGACCCCCCATAGACACATTCTGCTGTTTGTATCTATGAGTTTGGTTTTTTGTTTGCATGTTTGTTCATTTTTTGCCTTCAGTTTTTTGCGCCACATATGACTGCAGTCATATGGTTCTTGTCCTTTTCTGCCTGACTTATCTCGCTTAGCATAATACTCTCAGATCTACCCGTGCTGGCACAAGTGGCAGTGTGTCATCTTTTTTATGGCTGAGTAGTATTCCACCACACATGTATATACCACATCTTTATCCAAGCATACACTGAAGCTTGTTTCCATGCCTTGGCCGTTGTGAGTAGCACTGCAATACACACGGGATGCAGTTATCTTTACAAATGAGTGTTTTTAATTTTGGGGGGTAGATACTCAGGAGTAGAATCGCTGGATCAAGTGGCAGTTCCAATCTGAATTTTTTGAGGCATCTGCACTGTTTCCACAGTGGCCGCACCATCTCCAAATCCTGCCCGTGGTGCACGAGAGTTCCTCTTCTTCCCACATCCGCTCCAACACTTGTTATCCAGGCAAAGCTTCAGTGAGACATTCAGGCCAGGTCAGGGAAGGCTGGTCCACAAATCATCTGTGACTCATGAGAGGGAAGCCGCAGCTGGGAGTCTGGCCCCCGAGCCTCCAGCTCCCCGACTGGGCCTCCGGGCAGCCCTGGCTGTGGGCTGGGAGTGCACAGCACCCCACAGCCCGTCACCCCTGCTTTGTACCCACATCTCGAGTCGCCCCTTCCACCCACCCCTTCCCATCAGGTGGGCTCAGCCCACCTGACCTCGTCTCTGCCTTCGTGGGACTAGAGGCACTTGCACTTGAGTTTGGAATCCTTTGAAAAATTCCTCAAATTCTCTTTCTTGGTTCTTTTTTCACCTCGACGGGTTTCTAGCTTCTCTGCTGTCACTTGGGTTTCCCCAACCTTTTCGTTTTTCTTTCCACGCACCTGGCTGGCGCCAGGAGGCATGCTGGGGGCTAGGTGACGTTGAGCCACTTTGCTTGTGGGCGCCCGAACGAGAAAAAAGGGCTGGACCCTGAAGCTGGACACCTGCGTGTTCCACCTTCTGTCCTGTTACAGCCAATTGGCTCCTAAGGATGACGCTGCCCGTGACGCAGGTAAGACTTGGTGGTTTCCCGGCTCCAGGCAATTTCCTGGATCCCAGGATTGGAGTCCCGAGGCCTTAAGCGGGATAATCGTATAATCATATAATCGTATGACTAACGAAAGTGTTTAGTGATTTTCTGGTTATGGAAATGAAACTACTGTGCCTCTGGAAGGAAGGTTAGAATGTAACAATTTAAGAAAAATAAAGGTTAAGAAGTTACGACTCCACAGAGACATTCATTCCTTTTATGCTGATAGTAAGTTGTGAGACCTTTTGCCAGTCACTTGAATTTGTTGGGTCTCAAGTTTTCTGATTCACAGAATGACTGGTTTTGTGCTAGAGGTTCCTTCGACGTAAAGAATTTTAAGATCTTATGTGCTAATCTTAGGACCAGACGCCTTGGACTCCGAAGTCTTGCCCTGATGTCCGTCTGCCCATCCTGTCGGATGTGGTTGGAGGTGTGACATTGTAACATTAACAGGGTTCTGCCTTCACTGGGTCAAAAGGTATCTGCAGCACGAAACAGTATCATTCACACATATCCCCATGAACTGTTTCCAGCCTATAAACACACACACCTCCAAATCTGCTATAAACACAAATAGTTTAGTCCTGGCTGTTGTGGCTCAGTGGATTGAGCACCAGCATGTGAACCAGAGGTTTGCCAGTTCAATTCCCGGTCAGAGCACATGCCTGGGTTGCAGACCAGGTCCCCACTAGGGGGCGTGCAAGGGGCAACCACACATTGATATTTCTCTCCTTCCCATCACCTGTCTCTAAAAATCAACAAATAAAATCTTTAAAAAATTGTTTAAGGATATAGATTCATAACAGTTCACTTTAATAACTGCAGGGGTATAATACATAACTTTTTTTTTTGTTGTTATAAAACTGTTGTAGACCGCTCTGCCTGGTTCTAGAAATTGTATCTTGACCCCTTGTGGCTAAGGGCAAGGGATGACCTTTGGAATGCCAGCCACAGGAGACAAAGCTTGACTCTGGTAGCAAACACTGCCTCAGTTTCCTCTCTCTGCCCCCAAAGCACGGTCAGAAGTCAATGACGGGTAAGACCCCTCATGGCAGGGGGCAGCCTAAGACAGACTCGATCACTTAGGAGGCCTTCATGGAAGGACTAGGGGTGGGGTGGGTTGCTGCAACAAAGAGCACTGGACTCTCGCCCCCCAGCTTTGACAATGCACGAG